TCTTTAAAAAAGAAAGAAAAGAAATACAGTAAGCTGGGTGCAGTGGCTCATGCCTGTAATCACAGCACTTGGGAGGCTGAGGCAAGTAGACTGCCTGAGCTTATGAGTTGGAGACCACCAACCTGAACAAGAGCGAGACCCAGTCTCTAAAAATTAGCTGGGTGCTGTGGCAAGCACCTATAGTCCCAGCTACCTGGGAGGCAAGAGAATCGCCTGAACCTAAGAGTCTGAGGTTGCTGTGAGCTAAGATACCATGGCACTCCACCAAGGGTGACCAAGTGAGACTGTGTCTCAAAAATAAAAAAAAGAAAAGAAAAGAAATACAGTAATGTCTCAGGATATAAAATCAGTGTCCACAAATCAGTAGCCTTTGTATATGCCAATAACAGCCAAGCTGTGAAGCTAATCAAGGACACAATTCCCTTCATAGTATCTTCATAGAAAATGAAATACCTAGGAATATACCTAACAAAAGAGATGAAGGACCTCTACAAAAAGAATTATGAAACCCTAAGAAAAGAAATAGCAGAAGACATTAACAAATAGAAGAATATACCACACTCCTGGCTGGGAAGATTCAACATAGTGAAAATGTCTACACTTCCCAAAGCAATTGACAGATTCAATAAAATCCTCATCAAAATACCAACATCATACTTTGAAGAACTGGAAAAAATAGTTCTTTGTTTTATATAGAACCAAAAAAAACCCTATATAGCCATGGCGATTTTTAGTAATAAAAACAAAGCCAGAGATATCCTCCTACCAGACTTCAGGCTGTATTACGAGTCCACAGTGATCAAAACAGCATGGTATTGACGCAAAAATAGAGACACAGACATTTGGAACCGAACAGAAAACCAAGAGATGAAATCAGTCTCTTGTAGCCATCTGATCTTTGATAAACGAAACAAGAGCATACACTGGGGAAAAGAATCCCAATTCAATAAACGGCATTGGGAGAACTGGATAACCACATGTAAAAGATCGAAACTGAAAAAAAAAAAAGACTGAAACTGGACTTGCACCTTTAACCACTTATAAAAATTGATTCAAGATGGATAAGATTTAAATCTAAGACATGAAACAATAAAAAACCTAGAAGAAAGTGTGGGAAAAATTCTTGAAGATGCATGCCTGGGGAAAGATTTTATGAAGACGACTTCAGTGGCAATTGCAACAACAAAAATAAACAAATAGCACTTAATTAAACTGAAAAGCTTCTACACAGCAAGGACACAACAATGAAAGCAAATCGACAACCTTCAGAATGGCAAAAAATATTTATTTGCGTGTTATGAATCTGACAAAGGGTTGATAACTCAGATGTATAGAGAACTCAGATTAATGAACAAAAAAAGAGCTAACAATCCCATCTATCACTGGGCAAGAGACATTAAATAAACCCTCAGAGAAGGTTCTGGATATAAAATCAATGTCCACAAATCAGTAGCCTCTGTATCAGTATCCTGTTACCAACAGCTAACAAACTATGAAAAAATGCTCATCATCTCTAATCATCAGAGAAACACAAATGAAAACTACCCTGAGATATCACCTAACCCCAATGAGAATAACGCACATCACAAAGTCCCAAAGGTACAGATGCTGGAGTGGATGTGGAGAGAGTGGAACACTTCTATATTGTTTTACACTGAAAACTCATACAGCCTCTTTGAAAAGAAGTATGGAGAATCCTCAAAGAACCCAAATTAGATCTCCCATTTGACCCTGCAATCCCACTACATAGGTATCTACAGAGAAGAAAAAACAATATTTGCACTAGATTGCTTACTGCAGCTCAATTTACAACCACCAAGACACTCAAACAACTTAAATGTCCATCAACTCAGGAAAAGATTAATAAACTGTGGTATGTGTATACCATGGAATACTATTCAGTCAATGATGGTGATTTTACATCTTTTTTATCAATCTGGATTAAGCTGAAACACATTCTTCTAAAGCGTTGGAAGAATAGAAAAGGAGGGGCGGCGCCTGTAGCTCAGTGGGTAGGGCGCCAGCCCCATATACCGAAGGTGGCAGGTTCGAACCCAGCCCCGGCCAAACTGCAACAAGAAAAAAAATAGCCAGGCATTGTGGTGAGTGCCTGTAGTCCCAGCTACTCGGGAGGCTGAGACAAGAGAATCAC